TAGATTTGTCTAAAGAGTGGTACAATGTGGTCACTTATAAACTTAATCTAAACAGTTATATTATTACACCAAATATTATAAAAATCGTCCGGTTTCTTGACTATATTGTTGGACATAATTAATTATGTAAATATCTCTGTGTTTCCATCAATATTTAAATCTGAGCAACCCTGAAGAAGGATATCAAGATTGATATTGTTAATTTAAATATTCTCATATCTCTTATTAATTTAAAATGGACAAACATAACAGAAATGAAAACTATCTTCTATCGGGTCTCCACAGCCACACACAGAGCTGTCTGACAAATGATAACAGAAGAGGTGATGTTTAAAGAAAACTGGACAGCCAGGGACTTATATCCTCATTCAGCTTTCTTTCTTATACTATGTTTTACTTCTCCATGAAGTGAATTCCCCTTTTCAAGAGTATGTGGGATATACTGTTTTTATAGGCTGTGGTTCGACACTGAAGAGTTGTAAAATCCCTATTATTTCTCAGACCATACTGGACAGTTAGTCTTTGCATACAACAAGACATCTGCAGTAATTTAATTATGAATATAGCTCCAGAAGTAGTTTTATGAAGAAAGAATAATTTGTCTTTCTGTCGCCTATACTGCAGAGAATCCATACTTAATTCCTTGTATAATTTCTATATAGGTATTCCCTTTCCAAGCGTAACTAGGCATATTATTTTAGTGATGCAGAACTGATTGCCGAGCGGGACGAGGTGAAAAAATATAGAGACGAGCGAAGCGAGGCGAAAAATTTCGACAGGGATTCTGAGATAAATGGTGTAAAATCCTGCATTCTGGGCATTTCCAGAGAGCTTGACATCGCCGGTTCGAGACAAGCTGTCCGGAGTTTTTATTTTTGGACACTTTTTATATTTTTTTTTCATATTTTAAGATATGTACTAACATCAAATTTTTAACAACTTTATCTAAATTTATATGTCAGATAAACATACAAATATCAATTTGAGTCTGCCACCAGAACACAGAACAAACATCGACTCAGTAGCAATTGTTATTCAAATTGGACAATGTTGGAGTTTGCCAATTTTTCTATGGCCGGTTTCGTCAAATCCTTTCAGAATATTTGGGCTGCTGACATCCTTATCGCGATGAACATGGAGCATGGCAAGAACGCACAGTCTCTCACCACTCATGCATGCTCTTTTCCAAGTTTTCAGTCGTTTCAGGACAGAAAAGAACGTTCACAGCAAACACTCGTCACTGTGAGAGTTAGTAAAACCCGCGGAAGAACACGTCTTACGTTTGGGTAAAAATCCTGATGTGCGTATATTAAAGCTTGCTTAAGGAATATATAATGAAAATATATTCAATACTGGAACCCTTAACACCTGTTGTGATCACAAATAACATCCATTAGTTTACTAGAATTATTCCTTCCTCACCTTCTGAAAGAGCCTGTTTTTAACCAGAGATCCATGATGGTTACCGGTTACTAGGTAAGTGTAATCGAGAAACATCACCCGGTAAGATGCTGAGTTATATCCAGAAAGAATTAATTAAAAAGGAACGATGTCAAGTTATAGAAATTAAGGTTGAGACAGAAAAAACAAATGACTATATTTCGTATTTATTTTAAAACCATAAACAAATACACACAAAAAAAATCAATGTCGAAATATTAGTGAGGCAATTGCCTCACTTGCCTCAATGGTAGTTACGGCCTTGCTTTCGAAGCCCAGATACAATTCTAGCATGCAGCAGCTAGTTGTTACAGACTCAATTAGATACGATTCTTCTTCTGAACAGTTATCCTAAATTATGTTCCCATTCCAAAATAGGTAAAATAAAGGCAATATAGAGTATTTTTAGAGACTGCCTATCAATCTTATTTTCCAAACTATCTCATAATATTAAGACGTCTACAAGCTTTTGTATAAATATCCTATATGTGACTTGCCCATATGGCTGCTGATATAGGGTTATGCCTCGGAGACGGTATTAAGAGTTGAATGATGCACAGTCTGCGGGCTGAATGCTTTCTTTCTACCTGATTGGAAGATATTACCGACTCTATAGTAATTAAGTTCGTTGATTGGTTGGGACAATTCAAACCTAGTAACATTTAAAATGTCTTTTAATCCCGTAGAGTGTCAGATTTGAACTCTTTTATTTTAGTAAATCATGTAGATTTTGCCTGGTTATCAATCATGCATATTGGTACACAGGAATACTTGTCTATAAATAGTCGAAACTCCTGAAGTTTTGTAAACACTCACGTGATTATTTCACATTTAATCCAGTCGCTCACTGTTACGTACATTTTACATGTTTTATACATGAAAAAATAGGAAAACTTTTAGGGAAATGCTTTTTTCTTAGGTTATAGATATTTATACTCAGTATTGAAAAAACAAAAACATTGAAAAACGGAGATATCCAAATAATTTCTTTTCGATTAATATTAATTTACACGGGAATCTATATCTCAGGGGGGGGGGGGGGGGTGGGGCTCGGCGGTGGCACTTCGACCTTTTTATGGTAGTGGTGAGCAGCTGCGACATCCAATACCCAATCCTTTTCATATATATATATTTCTAATGACAAAAGAACACAATTACCCTATAGCTATCATATATTTGTTTTACAATAAGTATAGGCTACATATAGCTATCATTGTTACGCTATTTCACGGAGAGAAAGTTTTGACAAATATCTTAAACATTTACGACAGTGATTTTAGTGATTTTATTTGCATCTGTATAAAAATATCGACATCTGATTAGTTTCAGATTCAATCATAAACCTTGTCTTATATTTCACTTAAATTTCTCGACCTCATCAAATATCATGAAGCTTAAAATAGTTACCTATCTCAGCGAGTCATCCCTTCCACTCAATACATAATAAGTGTCCCCCACACACACCCCAAGATCTTTGAGCTGGGTTGGATGTTGTCTAGCTCTCACTAGCTCTTCCTATCAAGATATCAGAACGGTTAAAGACTAAAAAACATCTAAAAGAATAAAAAAAAACTACTCTCAGACGATAAAAATAATTGTACATGTATGCTAACATATTGTAAGCAAGGTTTAATTTCTATAAATGATTTTAAAAAAGATGTGAAGTATACATAATTAATTTAGACAGCAACCCAATTAAACAACAAACAAAACAATTTACTTCTAAAGTTCAATTTACGGTCTTCTTCAATGGACATGCCGTTACAATATTTTAAGCTTTTTATCCTCCCAAGTCTAGCTATAATATATAAAATAGTTGTGAATACTTTTAAAAAATAATCTTAACAGCAAAAAATTAATTCAGATATTACTTGAAACAATGAGCAGGGTCAGGAACAAACTTCTGATATTTGTTTTGAGGTTTATTGACTATCTATACTATACATGCTATACGAGAGAAAGAAAAATAAAAGAAAATTATAAATTTAAAAGACGAAAATATTGTTGGCATTTTAAAAGACTAATCTTAATTGTATGTTCTCTACAAGAATTGTAAAACAAGTATAATCATACATATACTATGATCATAAAAAAAAAAGAAAAAGACATTTATATGTCAACATACGAACGGGCGCCCACAAAAGATTATGTCAATCCAGTATGTCAAGCTTTGAAGGGTAAGTACGATAGGGTCTTATTCGTCACCCAACAAGGGGCCTCGGTGGCCGAGTGGTCTAAGTAGTTACTACTGTAATCACTAGCCAGTCAACACTTTCGAACCCCGCTCGTGCGGGTGCACTCGACTCCAGTCTTAATTCACTAGGATTGTTAGTTTTCCTATCGAAGATCGGTGGTTTTCTCCGGGCACTCCGGCTTCCTCCACCAATAAAAACTGGCCGCCACGAAATAGCCCAAAAGCGGTGCTTAAAAGTGGCGTTAAAACACCAAAAAATCAAATCAAATCTTCACCCAACATTAAATGGTATAATAAATAGATATGAAGATATGTACAAGTAAAACAATAGCAAACGATACAGTATCAAACTGTATGCTTAATAAAGCTTTTGGTAAAATTTGTTGATTCTATTATGGTGATGGCCTCATAGTGAAATAACATTGCAGAACTTATCCCCTTCTTTATAACCAATGACATTATCATAATTTGAAAAAAGAATGGCAAAACTACTATCTATTGAATTTCAGGCGCTTACAATAAGTCTTATTTAACAAATTACCCTTCTGAGTATTTTTTTCTCAAAAAAGTATGTTCAAGAAGTCCAATAAAACCAAATAATCTGAAAAAAGAAACATTTAATTGTACGGATACTCATTATTCAAATATAGAAAAAGAGGCGTGGGGCATTCCACATTCCTTCCAACTACAATGAATAGACAACAACAATCTAATTAAAATATAGATCTCGTTATACTATACGTTATAATACTACAGGCGAAGTATAACGTAGTATAACGAAATCCGAGATCTATACTTTAATTAGATTGAGACAACAAAAATAATCATACATATGTAAAGCTTTACATTTTAAGGATCAGTTTGAATAGATGTGAGATACCGTTGGAAATATATTATTCGTGTTCTTATATGTTTAAATTTTACCACGTTTCACTCTCTACACTTTTCGATGCCTATTATGAATGAAAAAGATTAAGGTGGAAGCGGCCATACTTTCCTAACACAAATAAATAAACAAACAATCAAAGAAAAAGTAAAGGAACAACATATCTGTTTGAAAAAAAAATAATCGATAAAAAGGTACCAACCGGCAGATGTTTAAGACATTATCCCTCCCTTTCATAAGCCTTTTATAAATTTTGTAATCCACTACAATTTATATACAAGGCTATTCTCATTCAGTGAATGAATTAAACTACAAAGCGAAAACGTTTTCCACTATCATCAGCTATGAGACGGCTAGCTTTTTAGAAAAGCTATTACTTGTACTGTTTTGCTTTCGAAAACCGTACAGCAGTTGTTTATTTTCGCGGGAAATTGTATTTCTTGTGTCTCTTGGTTTTTCATAAAAACAGACTGCCATTCGGAAAAATGTCCAGGAATTGGTTCAATGTTAGAGGTGAACACTTCACTTGTGTGTACAGATAATATGTTTGATTTTTGTCGAGTCCATCCAATGACAGGTTAAAAGCAAACTGCCTTATTGAACAATATAGATAACGTGTTTAAATTTTGGATCATTTAAAGTTTTATCTTAACACATGCTTAAGGCTAGGATGTAGAAACATCGACCGAATTTGTGCAAATTTTTGGGGTTGTGTTTTCTTAAATTTTGTGTGTACTGTTGGATATATACAAGAAGTGCATTTAAAAAACTGAAATGGCAAATAAGTTTAGTTTTACTTTAAATAGTGGGAATGTTATGCCAGCTCTTGGATTCGGGACTTACGCTCCTCAACATGTGAGTAAAAATATTGGACCGACCTTAACACGTGTGTTGTATCAAGTTATCTGTTTATTTTAGTATTTAGAAAGTAAGTCAGCATGCTATTATAACGTGATACTTAACCAACAAACCAATTTACCGATATCAAGGGTGTTTTTTTTAAACAGTTCTGTGGTCGTGACACTAAAGGCTCCAGCCTCCAGGTAATACACAGGACTACCAAACAATGATCAAGAATGAACCATAAAACATGTTTAAAAATAACAATTGAACTTTTAACAATGCTATGTTTGTAAACATAACTCCTTGACAGGAGGAGGTCTTTACTGATCAGTGCTGATGACTTATAACCTAATTTAGTAGAATTTATCATATAGTACAGGGACTACTTTAGCAAGAATTTGATTATTGCATGACTTTTAATCTTTTGGTGTGTCTTCATGTTGCTCTTTGGCAACCTTTAGTAGGACTGGGCATCCAGTTCTGATGTTCAAATAGTCTACACTCATGGGCTATACAGGAATATCATCTACTCTCTGACTCATGACTCTATTACAATTGTCTCGTGTTTCTGTTTATCATTAACAGGATTATTTTTGTGGTTATATATCTTAAGTAGCTATATATATAGGTCAAGGGATTTTTTAGCACCACTATATGTATACATAACAATATTGGTCTAAAATTGTAGATGTGTTTGATGGATGTAAAAGATATGCCAACCTTCAGAAAAGTAACTGTTTTATCATTGAGCATACGCTGTGTTGAAGACCCACTGACCGGCAATGGGCTGTTTTCTGCTCTTTGGTCGGGTTGTTGTCTCTTTGACACATTCCCCATTTTAATTCCCAATTTTATAATATCCTTCAAAACAGGTTGAGCACAACTTCTAAAACATTCAAAATTGGGAATATTCCTGGAATTAGAAAGTTTTAATTCCTCAATTAAGTTCATTTTTTCAGGGTTTATACTGAAAATAACACTTTTAAATGTTTTTCCTGAAGAACCGTAATAACTGCATCAAGAATGATGGTTATTTATTCCAGTATAAGGTGATGATTCAAAATAAACATGATAAAATAACTTTAGTAAAATATCCCTGACAACATATGGACAATACTCATTTAACATGCTTAACGAACTGCATTTGTAATTCAGGTTTGGTGGTTTTGTGGCCAAACAGTAAAATTAGATGAAGTAAGTTAGGTTTGATAGTCAAAATATGGCAGTCAGATAGTAAGGTTTCTTTTATTTGTATTATTGTGCAAGAATTCATAATTATAATTCATACCTGTTAATAATCTATTTTTAATAGAAGGGGGAAACTCCTGGATCCACTGAATCTTGCCTATAATCATTATAATCATTATAATCATGATAATCATTATAATCATCATGATCATGATAATGGGTAATTAGATGACTGAGAAGACACCATATCTCATCACAGTCATGACAGTTCAATATTTTACCTTTAATTGTTTTCTCTTCACATAATTAAATCAAGGTAAGGCTAAAATAAAAAATAGGGTCCTTAATACTTTAGGTCATGTAGGTATGTTGTTTGAACTAATCTTATATACAACACATACATGTAAGCTACCTATAGGAGAGTTCTTGGTTAGCTGATTTTCAATATGGAGGTTATCACGGGACATTTTTCTATGCCTCTACCTAGTTTTTCGCACACACGATTTTAGCAAACAGAATGATTTTAACATGTTTAATAGATTTCCACCTAAAATATTTAACCACACTTTTCTATTTTTACCCTATCCTGTATGCCCTGATGAAAACTTGAAAGGATGTACACCTCTGAGTAGCCAAAAATTTGTAGAATTTTTTTCTTAACCTGATTTTTGGGTTTATATGACTGTATTAAGAAATTTATTAATGAAGAAAAAATCATATGGTGGTGACCTTTTTTTTTTGCTACAACCATTTGATAGTACCCCATTTTTTAAAGATTTTCCCATTTTTCATCAATTTTACCCATTTTTGGGCTAGTATTACATGTATTCTGAAAAAAATCACAGTTTCACAATTACATTTTTTTTATACTTTCACTAACATGACTAAAGATGAAGTGGACCAATCTGATTAAATTTAACTTAAAAAGACTATGGTTGGTGATTATATTAGAAAGTTTTATAAAATTTTGTTGCTTTTTCGTGTCAAATTGACCATGCTGTCAATTTTGTAAATTTGGGATTTTTCTCTTTTTTTTTTAGAGCAAAAAGCATATTATTTCAACAACTTTGTTATAAATTATTGAAAAAATACTTATCTAATAATTTTGAAGAGAAAAAATTGATATGGGATGTACATATTTTTGGTAAAACATTTCTTTGTCATTTTGTACCCCTCAGGTTATAAAATTTGAAAATTGTATTACTCAAAAATACTCATTGTAAGTACACAATTTTTTCACAGATTTTAGTTTGATTACAATATTTTTTAAATTCATTGATATATTCTCCACTTGCATAATGACTTGTGTCATATGTTTTGGAAATGATTCTCAAACGAGATAAATCGACAAGACTGAAACAGCAGAAGAATATATCATTAGTTCACAGTCTGCACCAAAATCTAACTACTAGTGCAAAAACCAATATTCTGACAATTTTCTTATGTTTATAAAATATTTTAATCATTAATAGTATTGATGGATAATTTCTGAAAAAGTACATCAAACCAAATCTTCCCCAAATGAAAGATTGAAAGTCCAAAGGCCATAACCATGATCAAGAGATGCACACAGACAATGACAGACGACGACAGATTTAAATATGTGTGTGATAAGATGAAGCTTCAAGGTTTATTTTCACCGTAATCATGATAATCATGATAATAGTAATTTACTAATTATGAATGATTCATAAAGCATGTAAAGTATGTGAACAGATCTTTACCATCAAGTTCACACAAAATCTCATCCAAAAATGTTATTTAGAAGAATATGACCCCTACTCCAATGCCCCACTCCCTTACGTTGGTACACGTAATGAATTTAAGCATTGCACTCGTACAGTTTGCTGATCTGATATTTCGATTTTGACTCAAGAAATACAATTTAAAGCATATATATAAACTGTCTATATCATATTTATATTTTGCATTTAAATACTTCAGTTTCTATATTTAGAATGAAGGTTATCTATGGTGACAGACAGAATTTGACTGTCCAAGGTTGACTTTATGTAAACAAACAGATCAGTGCAGTGTTAATCCATAGTAATTATTATAGATTAATAAAGTAGTCTGAAAGGTAGTTCTACTATCCATCATGCTCAAGGTTTTTTTCACAGGACGGTCATGACAGTAGATGAATGAAATATTCTTTTTCTAATCATGTGCTAATATTTATGGTTTTTAAAATCATCTCAAATATTGTATGGTGGGATATTTTCGCTTATTTTGGTGATGAATTATTTAAATGAAATTGGAATTTGCGTTTCAGAATATCATGAGTATTCAAACAGCATACCATGCATACCTGCCAACTCTATGGAGCTACAAAGTTGGAGTCTGATCTCCCTCTTTCCACTAATGGGAGAAATAACGCATGACAACCTTTTTCCATTCAAAATTTTGTATCAAGATATAAATTATAAGCACAGAAGCATAAGATTTAATTATGACATTGACCATGTTGACCCTGGATTATATTAATTAAAACAACATTCTTCGTATGATTAGATGTCTTTCTACAATGGAGAGAAAAACTGTTTTTTGTTTCGCCTGTGATGGAAGTTGCAGAATGCTATCGAGACATAGATGACATAGGGACAATAATCTGGTGGCAGTGATGGCATAAAATAATCTGGTGGCAGCTGTGATGGCATAAACTATTTGTATAAACTTATTAAAGCTTATTATTTCAGGGGGTAGAAGACCTGGATGCTTCATACCTTATAAACAGATGTGTTATGTAACAAAGTTTCTATATGTCATTTGTCCATTGTCCTTGACCAAATTTTCATGGTCAACTATAATCAGTCAGGGGACTTACTTAAATGAGTGATTTTTAAATCACTGATTCAAGTAACATTTTGTTCACAAATGTTGGAAGTAAAAGTTGTCTTTCTTTAATAATCACCTATTTAAGTAGTACAAATAAATCACTAGACTAAGTGATTTAATTTTATTGTAGCTTTAAATATACAATACTAATGATCCAGGGACAAATTATGATTCTAAAATTATCAGAACCAACATCTGTGTTGATAGGATAACCGGTCATGTGTACTGAATCTGGAATAATGACATGAAAATCACTTGTTTAAGTATCATACCTCTATCAGTCAGGGGTACTACTTGTACAAGTAATTTTTATTTACTTGAAGAAGTAAATATTAATATACTTATATAAGTAAATTTGTAGGATACTTATACAAGTGTATTTTATTTACTTGTATAGGTAAATTATTTTTTGGCTTAGTTATGTCCCTTAGACATTCAGATTTTTTTACTTATACAATATATAGAAAGTAAAAAAGTCATCCTATCTTCTTTTCTTGAATTTCTTAGGACTTCTTTCCTCTAATAGAATTTTTAATTGTCTGTCCTTTGCAGATGTCTTTACTAATCATTTAAGTGTAATTTCATGGACAATGAAAATCTCATATGTCTGTTATCATCAGAACACTGCTTATTTACAAGCCCCAAAGGGGCAATTTTTGAAGGCCTTGCCCAAATACTTAAGATCTTTGCGCAATTAGTTTCTTTGTTGAATTAATGAGATGAAACATTGAACTGTAATAAAAAATTATGAGCTAACCTGAGAAAAATTGTTAAAGGCATGTTTTTACATCTCAAAACTTGAGAATTTTTAAGGATTGTAAAAAAAAATTACTTATACAAGTAAATTTTTGAGAAAATTAAGGGGAGATTATTCAAACATTATAATTTACTTATATAAGTATATTATTATTTACTTCTTCAAGTAAATAAAGATTACTTGTACAAGTAGTACCCCTGACTGTCTATATAATCTTCCAAAAAATCACTTCTTTAAGTATTATTATTTTAATTACCCCCACTAATTTCAACACCCCCCAACAGTGAAATTTTGGTCGCGAACAGTAAAATTTTATTACATAATCTGTCAGATGAAACCTTGAATTTTACAGGAAAATTACTTCCACTGCTGGGAAAAATCTGTTAAGAAAGTATCAGTTCATCATGTAAAGCCTTCATTATAGCATTTTTTCAACAAATATAGAATTTACAGCTAATAGATTGCATCAAAGGCATAAACCTTGCTATTTAAAAGAAGAAAAAGGTTCACTTTTTCCAATTTTACTAATAATAAGTACGGTCTTCAACACAGAGCCTTGGCTCACACCGCACAGCAAGATATAAACATGATAAAGGGCCCCAAAAATTACTAGTGTGATCAGAAACCATTCAAACGGGAAAACCAACGGTCTAATCTATATAAAAAACAAGAAACGAGAAACACTTATGAACCACATCAACAAACGACCACTACTGAACATCAGATTCCTGACTTAGGTTAAAATTTTGGTAAACTACAAAATCACAATTTGTGACAAAATTTCGAATTTGCTTCTTAAATAAGTGATTTTATAAATCACTTATTTGAGTAATTCCCCTGACTGATAATTGGTGTATTGAATGACTATTAAAAGTTACATTTCTGCCTGGAAAAAAGATTAAATCTAAAACAAATTGAATGCAAATACGTATTACAATATTACTTTTCATTATTTTTCTACCTTAGTACAATTAGAAAATAAATAGTTGAAAATTATTTTTCTCATCTCTACTTCCTTTAAATGTTTAACTTTTTTTTTTATACTCTAACATAATTTACATGTAAAGGTATGTATTACACATAAACATTGTTCTTACATGTACCGGTAAACGGCATGTATTAGACATAATCATTGTTCTTCCACATGTAAGTGTATGTATTACACATAATCATTGTTCTTCCACATGTAAGGGTATGTATTACACATAATCATTGTTCTTCCACATGTAAGGGTATGTATTACACATAATCATTGTTCTTCCATGGTTTTATATTGGTCATGTTGGTTTACTATAAATTTATGATACAGGTACAAGTTTTTTGTAGTTTTATTTGGTTAACAAGGTTAATATATACATATATAATTCCGGTACAAGTTTTTTCTGTGATTTTATTTGGTAATTATAAATTTATTATAAAGGTACAACATGTACAAGTTTTTCTGTGGTTTTATTTGTTCATAATACATTTATTATACAGGTAGAAGTTTTTTCTGTGGTTTTATTTGGTAATTATACATTTATTATACAGGTTGTTGTTTTATTTGGTTAATCATACATTTTTATTTAGGGGCCAGCTGAGGACCACCTCCGGGTGCGGGATTTTCTCGCTGCGTTGAAGACCCATTGGTGGCCTTTGGCTGTTATCTGCTCTTTGGCCGGGTTGTTGTCTCTTTGACATATTCCCCATTTCCATTCTCTATTTTATTTATTATACAGGTAGAAGAAGATGTATTAAAAGCTGTAAGAATAGCTGTCAAAGCAGGATATCGACATCTTGACTGTGCTGCCATCTATAGGAACGAGCGAGCTGTAGGCCAGGCACTTAAACAGCTTATCGTAGAATCAACTATCACTAGGAAAGATATATTTGTTACCAGTAAGGTAAAATTGTTTTAGTATATTCTGGGTTTTTATTTGCTACCAGTAAGGTAAAATTGTTATAGTATATTTCTGGGTTTTCTGTTATTTGGTATAATACACATGGAACGGGAAGATTTTATGCATTATAATCATGCTAATTATTTCAACCCTGTATTCTTAATAATCATAATAATAGATGATTTTATTATTTCAATAATCATCATCTGATTATTTGTGTTGTTCAGTTGCTGTCTCATTGACATATACCCTACATCTCCTTTTTGTCCCCCGCATAACACGTTGAGGGGGACATGGAAATACCGGGCGTCCGTCCGTTCGTCTTGTTAGCGCTCTCATGTGTACAATTCTTGCCAGAATTTGATAAACTTATATCATCATAGGTTTACATTAGCAATGTCTTGGACTAGTTAGAAAATCAGTGCCTTCAGGTGATCTTACTAAACCAGGTCTTAATGAGATCTTACTATACCAGTTCTTAATGAGATCTAACTACATCAGGTCTTAATGAGATCTTACTATACCAGGTCTTAAGGAGATCTCACTACACAAGGTCTTAATGAGATTTTACTACAGAAGGTCTTAAGGAGATCTTACTACATCAGGTCTTAATGAGATCTTATAACATCAGGTCTTCAGGATATTTTACTACACCCTGTCTTAATGAGTCTTAATGAGATCTTAGTACATAAGGTTTTAATGAGATCTTACACATTACTACATCAGGCCTTAATGAGATCTTACTACATCAGGTTTTAATGAGATCTTACACGTTACTACATCAGGCCTTAATGAGATCTTACAACATCAGATCTTAATGAGATCTTACACGTTACTACATCAGGCCTTAATGAGATCTTACAACATCAGATCTTAATGAGATCTTACACGTAACTACAGCAGGCTTTAATGAGATCTTACAACATCAGATCTTAATGAGATCTTACACATTACTACATCAGGCCTTAATGAGATCTTACTACATCAGGTCTTAAGGAGATCTTACTACATCAGGTCTTAATGAGATCTTACACATTACTACATCAGGCCTTAATGAGATCTTACTATGTCAGGCCTTAAGGAGATCTTACACGTTACTACATCAGGCCTTAATGAGATCTTACTATGTCAGGCCTTAAGGAGATCTTACACGTTACTACATCAGGCCTTAATGAGATCTTACTATGTCAGGCCTTAAGGAGATCTTACACGTTACTACATCAGGCCTTAATGAGATCTTACTATATCAGGCCTTAAGGAGATCTTACACGTTACTACATCAGGCCTTAATGAGATCTTACTACATCAGGTCTTAAGGAGATCTTACTACATCAATTCTTAATGAGATCTTACACGTTACTACATCAGGTCTTAATGAGATCTTACTACATCAGGCCTTAATGAGATCTTACACGTTACTACATCAGGCCTTAATAAGATCTTGCTATGTCAGGTCTTAAGGAGATCTTACACGTAACTACATCAGTTCTTAATGAGATCTTACACGTTACTACATCAGGCCTTAGTGAGATCTTACTATGTCAGGTCTTAAGGAGATCTTACTACATCAGGTCTTAATGAGATCTTACACGTTACTACATCAGGCCTTAATGAGATCTTACTACATCAGGTCTTAAGGAGATCTTACTACATCAGGTCTTAATGAGATCTTACATGTTACTACATCAGGCCTTAATGAGATCTTACTATGTCAGGTCTTAAGGAGATCTTACTACATCAGGTCTTAATGAGATCTTACTACATCAGGCCTTAATGAGATCTTACAACATCAGATCTTAATGAGATTTTACACGTTACTACATCAGGCCTTAATGAGATCTTACTATGTCAGGTCTTAAGGAGATCTTACTACATCAGGTCTTAATGAGATCTTACACGTTACTACATCAGGTCTTAATGAGATCTTACTATGTCAGGTGTTAAGGAGATCTTACACGTTACTACATCAGGCCTTAATGAGATCTTACTACAACAGGTCTTAAGGAGATTTTACTACATCAGATCTTAATGAGATCTTATTACATCAGGTCTTAAGGAGATCTTACTACATCAGGTCTTAAGGAGATCTTACAACATCAGATCTTAATGAGATCTTACACGTTACTACATCAGGCCTTAATGCAATCTTACTACATCAGGTCTTAAGGAGATCTTACTACATCAGATCTTAATGAGATCTTACTACATCAGGTCTTAAGGAGATCTTACTACATCAGGTCTGAATGAGATCTTACACGTTACTACATCAGGCCTTAATGAGATCTTACTATGTCAGGTCTGAAGGAGATCTTACACGTTACTACATCAGGCCTTAATGAGATCTTACTACATCAGGTCTGAAGGAGATTTTACTACATCAGGCCTTAATGAGATCTTACTACATCAGATCTTAAGGAGATTTTACTACATCAAGTCTTAAGGAGATTTTACTACATCAGGCCTTAATGAGATCTTACTACATCAGATCTTAAGGAGATTTTACTACATCAGGTCTTAAGGAGATCTTACTACATCAGATCTTAATGCAATCTTACTATATCAGGTCTTGAGGAGATCTTACTACATCAGGTCTTAAGGAGATCTTACTACATCAGGTCTTCATGGGATCTTACTACATCAGGTCTTAATGAGATCTTACGATTATATACAACATCAGGTCTTAAGGACATTTTAAGATTGTATACTACACCAGGTCTAAAGGGGATTTTAAGATTGTATACTACACCAGGTCTAAAGGGGATTTTAAGATTGTATACTACATCAGGTCTTAAGGAGATCTAGCATTTTTATGCCCCACCTACGATTGAAGAGAGGCATTATGTTTTTCGGTCTGTGCATCCGTTCGTTCATTCTTCCATTCGTCCGTTAGTCCTGCTTCAGGTTAAAAGTTTTTGGTCAAGGTAGTTTTTGATGAAGTTGAAGTCCAGTCAACTTGAAACTTAGTACACATGTTCCCTATGATATGATCTTTCTAATTTTAATGCCAAATTAGAGTTTTGACCCCAATTGCAAGGTCCATTGAACATAGAAAATGATAGTGCGAGTGGGGCATCCGTGTACTATAGACTATAGACACATTCTTGTTTTAAATAGGATCTTTTATTAATATTAGACTGTTATCCACATTTAAACACAGTCAGTTTAATTGAAATGATGATTGTTACAGTTATGGAATACATGTCACAGACCAGATTTAGTCCGTTCAAGTTTGAAGAAAAGCCTTGAAGATTTAGGACTATCATATTTGGACCTGTATCTTGTTCATTGGCCTATGGGCTATCAGGTTAGTATGACATGATGAGTTTTACAGTTTAAACATGATAAGCACATCATGATTTCAACATTGACACCTGTCAGTCAAGCTATTACTTAATGATTTTGTTAATCAGTAAAATTACCATCATCGGACCTTCACGACCATTGGGTACCAGCATCAGACCATTGGGTAGAGTGTTGTTTCAGACACTATGCATAGCCTTATTGTCATAACCTTTATTTTAAGCTGTTTTGGGGTAAAGAAGCATTCATGCAATCAAAACCCTCATGTGACTGGCTAGTTATTTTTCCAGACCTCACCCTTTCTTTAGAGAGTAATAATATATATAGTGCGTTGAAGTGATTTTTTATGCCCCCGCCATACCAGAGGGGGCATTAAGTTTTACCTTTGTCCGTCTGTACGTCCCAAAGTTGGTTTCCGTTCTCTAACTTTAGTTTGCCTCAACCAAATTTTATGAAACTTATACACAATGCTTATTACCACAAAACACAGATCAAGTTTGAATTTGGGTGGCGTCACTTTACCTTTCTAGAGTTGTGCCCCTTTACAAATGGAAAAATTGCTGAATTTTTCGTTTCCATTCTCTCACTTAAGTTTGCCTCAACCAAATGTTATGAAACTTATAATACACAAAAAATTTTATTATTACAAAACTCAGATGAAGTATGAATTAAGGTCACTTTTACCGTTCTTTAGTTATGTCCCTTTATAACGTTATATGCAAGTGGGGGCATCATCTGTGTCCCATGGACACATTCCCCATTTATTTTATCCTATCTATGAACATATCCAGAAATTTTTCAATAAAATATATAATCTGATATTCAAGTTAGAAATGATGTGTATGTGTAAAAGGATACTTGTCAAGAAAAGTTGTGCATGGTGTATGAATCTATCTTTTCTAAAACAACAATTATGTTATTGAGAAAAGTAACATTTAGAATTTGAATTGTCGTCCAGGCCTCTACATAATCATTTATTTTACTTGTACATTCGAGCAATTTGCAAAAACTCAACTTGTAAGACTTCTGACATTTCTAAAATCACTTACCCAAATCCAAAAGTGCAAATTATCTAATAAATAATGCTGTCCTTATCTAATAAATAATGCTGTCTTTACCTTTTTGACACATTTGTCTCAAATAATCTAATAAATAATGCTGTCTTTACCTTATTGACACATTTATCTCAAATTATCTAATAAATAATGCTGTCTTTATCTTATTGACACATTTATCTCAAGTTATCTAATAAATAATGCTGTCCTAATATTATTGACACATTTATCTCAAATTAAATTATCTAATAAATAATGCTGTCTTTACCTTATTGACACATTTATCTCAAATTATCTAATAAATAATGCTGTCCTTACCTTATTGACACATTTGTCTCAAATAATCTAATAAATAATGCTGTCCTAATATTATTGACACATTTATCTCAAATTATCTAATAAATAATGCTGTCTTTACCTTATTGACACATTTATCTCAAATTATCTAATAAATAATGCTGTCTTTATCTTATTGACACATTTATCTCAAGTTATCTAATAAATAATGCTGTCCTAATATTATTGACACATTTATCTCAAATTAAATTATCTAATAAATAATGCCTTCTTTACCTTATTGACACATTTATCTCAAATTATCTAATAAATAATGCTGTCCTAATATTATTGACACATTTATCTCAAATTAAATTATCTAATAAATAATGCTGTCTTTACCTTATTGACACATTTGTCTCAAATTATCTAATAAATAATGCTGTCCTAATATTATTGACACATTTATCTCAAATTATCTAATAAATAATGCTGTCCTTACCTTATTGACACATTTGTCTCAAATTATCTAATAAATAATGCTGTCCTAATATTATTGACACATTTATCTCAAATTATCTAATAAATAATGCTGTCTTTACCTTATTGACACATTTGTCTCAAATTATCTAATAAATAATGCTGTCCTAATATTATTGACACATTTATCTCAAGTTATCTCGATTTTAACATTTGATTACCAGGAAGGTGGTGAGTTTATACCCCGAGGGAAAGATGGTAATGTGCTGTATTCTGATGTAGATTTTGTTGAGACTTGGAAGGCATTAGAAGACTGTGTTGATGAAGGTTTGGTGAAGGATATAGGCCTTTCTAATTTTAACAGTAAACAAATAGAGAGATTGCTTGAAGTTGCTAGAATTAAACCTAGTAATAATCAGGTAGGTTTAGTATATAAATAATGAGATGTAGTATGATTGCCAATGAGACAACTATCCACCAGAGTGCAAATGATGTGGATGTAATCAACTATAGGTCACCATACAGCCTTCAACAATGAGTAAAGCACATACTGTTTAGTCAGCTATAAAAGACACTTAAAATGACAAAATGTGAAACAATTCATACAGGAGAACCAACAGCCTTATTTATGACAACAATTAACCAAAAACAAACATGACACACAGCAACCCAACCAAAAACAAACATGACACACACTATCTAATGATGACCACTGAATAAACGGCTCCTGACTTGGGACAGGCACATAAGAAATTAAGTCTAACAATGTCTAAAGGTTATGGCTTGATGAGGGTAAAAAAAATCCTTTTAAATTTAGTGTGCCTTTAAACATTGAAGAAATTTCTATTTATTGTCTGGTGAAAAAAATGATTTGTCTGGTGAAATGACTTTATTATCTGGTGAAATGACTTTATTGTCTGGTGAAAATGACTTTATTGTCTGGTGAAATGACTTAATTGTCCTGACTACATTAAAGAGACATCTAAAGGTCTACATACAGTATTTAAGGACTGACTACATTAAAGAGACATCTAAAGGTCTACATACAGTCTTTAAGTCCTGAATACATAAAAGAGACATCTAAAGGTCTACATACAGTCTTTGAGGACTGACTACATGAAAGAGACATCTAAAGGTCTACATACAGTCTTTGAGGCCTGACTACATTAAAGAGACATCTAAAGGTCTACATACAGTCTTTAAGTACTGACTAGATGAAGAGACATCTAAAGGTCTACATACAGTCTTTGAGGACTGACTACATTGAAGAGACATCTAAAGGTCTACATACAGTCTTTAAGTCCTGACTACATTAAAGAGACATCTAAAGGTCAACATACAGTCTTTGGGTCCTGACTACATGAAAGAGACATCTAAAGGTCTACATACAGTCTTTAAGTCCTGACTACATTAAAGAGACATCTAAAGGTCTACATACAGTCTTTAAGTCCTGACTACATTAAAGAGACATCTAAAGGTCAACATACAGTCTTTGAGGCCTGACTACATTTAAGAGACATCTAAAGTTCTACATACAGTCTTTGAGGACTGACTACATTAAAGAGATAGTTTAAAGTCTACATACAATCTTTAAGTCCCGACTACATTGAAGAGACATCTAAAGGTCTATATACAGTCTTTGAGGACTGACTACATTAAAGAGACATCTAAAGGTCTACATACAGTCTTTGAGGCCTGACTACATTAAAGAGACATCTAAAGGTCTACATACAGTCTTTGAGGCTTGACTACATTAAAGAGACATCTAAAGGTCTACATACAGTCTTTGAGGACTGACTACATGAAAGAGACATCTAATGGTCTACATACAGTCTTTAAGTACTGACTACATTAAAGAGACATCTAAAGGTCTACATACAGTCTTTGAGGACTGACTACATTAAAGTGACATCTAAAGGTCTACATACAGTCTTTGAGGCCTGACTACATTAAAGAGACATCTAATGGTCTACATACAGTCTTTAAGTACTGACTACATTAAAGAGACATCTAAAGGTCTACATACAGTCTTTGAGGACTGACTACACTAAAGTGACATCTAAAGGTCTACATACAGTCTATGAGGCCTGACTACATTAAAGAGACATCTAAAGGTCTACATACAGTCTTTGAGGACTGACTACATGAAAGAGACATCTAATGGTCTACATACAGTCTTTAAGTACTGACTACATTAAAGAGACATCTCAAGGTCTACATACAGTCTTTGAGGACTGACTACATTAAAGTGACATCTAAAGGTCTACATACAGTCTTTGAGGCCTGACTACATTAAAGAGACATCTAAAGGTCTACATACAGTCTTTGAGGACTGACTACATGAAAGAGACATCTAATGGTCTACATACAGTCTTTAAGTACTGACTAGATGAAGAGACATCTAAAGGTCTACATACAGTCTTTGAGGACTGACTACATTGAAGAGACATCTAAAGGTCTACAAACAGTCTTTGAGGACTGACTACATTAAAGTGACATCTAAAGGTCTACATACAGTCTTTGAGGACTGACTACATTAAAGAGACATCTAAAGGTCTACATACAGTCTTTAAGTCCTGACTACATTAAAGAGACATCTAAAGGTCTACATACAGTCTTTAAGTCCTGAATACATTAAAGAGACATCTAAAGGTCTACATACAGTCTTTAAGTCCTGAATACATTAAAGAGACATCTAAAGGTCTACATACACGATACAGTATTTAAGGACTGACTACATGAAAGAGACATCTAAAGGTTTGCATACAGTCTTTAAGTCCTGAATACAATTAAAGAGACATCTAAAGGTCTACATACAGTCTTTAAGTCCTGACTACATTAAAGAGACATCTAAAGGTCTACATACAGTCTTTAAGTCCTGTATACATTAAAGAGACATCTAAAGGTCTACATACAGTCTTTAAGTCCTGAATACATTAAAGAGACATCTAAAGGTCTACATACATGATACAGTATTTAAGGACTGACTACATGAAAGAGACATCTAAAGGTCTGCATACAGTCTTTAAGTCCTGAATACATTAAAGAGACATCTAAAGGTCTACATACAGTCTTTAAGTCCTGACTACATTAAAGAGACATCTAAAGGTCTACATACAGTCTTTCAGTCCTGAATACATTAAAGAGACATCTAAAGGTCTACATACAGTCTTTAAGTCCTGAATACATTAAAGAGACATCTAAAGGTCTACATACAGTCTTTGAGGCCTGACTACATTAAAGAGACATCTAAAGGTCTACATACAGTCTTTGAGGCTTGACTACATTAAAGAGACATCTAAAGGTCTACATACAGTCTTTGAGGACTGACTACATGAAAGAGACATCTAATGGTCTACATACAGTCTTTAAGTACTGACTACATTAAAGAGACATCTAAAGGTCTACATACAGTCTTTGAGGACTGACTACATTAAAGTGACATCTAAAGGTCTACATACAGTCTTTGAGGCCTGACTACATTAAAGAGACATCTAATGGTCTACATACAGTCTTTAAGTACTGACTACATTAAAGAGACATCTAAAGGTCTACATACAGTCTTTGAGGACTGACTACACTAAAGTGACATCTAAAGGTCTACATACAGTCTTTGAGGCCTGACTACATTAAAGAGACATCTAAAGGTCTACATACAGTCTTTGAGGACTGACTACATGAAAGAGACATCTAATGGTCTACATACAGTCTTTAAGTACTGACTACATTAAAGAGACATCTCAAGGTCTACATACAGTCTTTGAGGACTGACTACATTAAAGTGACATCTAAAGGTCTACATACAGTCTTTGAGGCCTGACTACATTAAAGAGACATCTAAAGGTCTACATACAGTCTTTGAGGACTGACTACATGAAAGAGACATCTAATGGTCTACATACAGTCTTTAAGTACTGACTAGATGAAGAGACATCTAAAGGTCTACATACAGTCTTTGAGGACTGACTACATTGAAGAGACATCTAAAGGTCTACAAACAGTCTTTGAGGACTGACTACATTAAAGTGACATCTAAAGGTCTACATACAGTCTTTGAGGACTGACTACATTAAAGAGACATCTAAAGGTCTACATACAGTCTTTAAGTCCTGACTACATTAAAGAGACATCTAAAGGTCTACATACAGTCTTTAAGTCCTGAATACATTAAAGAGACATCTAAAGGTCTACATACAGTCTTTAAGTCCTGAATACATTAAAGAGACATCTAAAGGTCTACATACATGATACAGTATTTAAGGACTGACTACATGAAAGAGACATCTAAAGGTTTGCATACAGTCTTTAAGTCCTGAATACAATTAAAGAGACATCTAAAGGTCTACATACAGTCTTTAAGTCCTGACTACATTAAAGAGACATCTAAAGGTCTACATACAGTCTTTAAGTCCTGTATACATTAAAGAGACATCTAAAGGTCTACATACAGTCTTTAAGTCCTGAATACATTAAAGAGAGATCTAAAGGTCTACATACATGATACAGTATTTAAGGACTGACTACATGAAAGAGACATCTAAAGGTCTGCATACAGTCTTTAAGTCCTGAATACATTAAAGAGACATCTAAAGGTCTACATACAGTCTTTAAGTCCTGACTACATTAAAGAGACATCTAAAGGTCTACATACAGTCTTTCAGTCCTGAATACATTAAAGAGACATCTAAAGGTCTACATACAGTCTTTAAGTCCTGAATACATTAAAGAGACATCTAAAGGTCTACATACATGATACAGTCTTTAAGTCCTGACTACATTAAAGAGACATCTAAAGGTCTACATACAGTCTTTAAGTCCTGAATACATTAAAGAGACATCTAAAGGTCTACATACATGATACAGTCTTTAAGTCCTGACTACATGAAAGAGACATCTAAAGGTCTACATACAGTCTTTAAGTCCTGAATACATTAAAGAGACATCTAAAGGTCTACATACAGTCTTTGAGGACTGACTACATTAAAGTGACATATAAAGGTCTACATACAGTCTTTAAGTCCTGAATACATTAAAGAGACATCTAAAGGTCTACATACATGATACAGTATTTAAGGACTGACTACATGAAAGAGACATCTAAAGGTCTGCATACAGTCTTTAAGTCCTGACTACATTAAAGAGACATCTAAAGGTCTACATACAGTCTTTAAGTCTTGACTACATTAAAGAGACATCTAAAGGTCTACATACAGTCTTTAAGTCCTGAATACATTAAAGAGACATCTAAAGGTCTACATACAGTCTTTAAGTCCTGAATACATTAAAGAGACATCTAAAGGTCTACATACATGATACAGTCTTTAAGTCCTGACTACATTAAAGAGACATCTAAAGGTCTACATACAGTCTTTAAGTCCTGAATACATTAAAGAGACATCTAAAGGTCTACATACATGATACAGTCTTTAAGTCCTGACTACATTAAAGAGACATCTAAAGGTCTACATACAGTCTTTAAGTCCTGAATATATTAAAGAGACATCTAAAGGTCTACATACAGTCTTTGAGGACTGACTATATTAAAGTGACATCTAAAGGTCTACATACAGTCTTTAAGTCCTGAATACATTAAAGAGACATCTAAAGGTCTACATACAGTCTTTAAGTCCTGAATACATTAAAGAGACATCTAAAGGTCTACATACATGATACAGTCTTTAAGTCCTGACTACATTAAAGAGACATCTAAAGGTCTACATACAGTCTTTAAGTCCTGAATACATTAAAGAGACATCTAAAGGTCTACATACATGATACAGTCTTTAAGTCCTGACTACATTAAAGAGACATCTAAAGGTCTACATACAGTCTTTAAGTCCTGAATACATTAAAGAGACATCTAAAGGTCTACATACATGATACAGTCTTTAAGTCCTGACTACATTAAAGAGACATCTAAAGGTCTACATACAGTCTTTAAGTCCTGAATATATTAAAGAGACATCTAAAGGTCTACATACAGTCTTTGAGGACTGACTACATTAAAGTGACATCTAAAGGTCTACATACAGTCTTTAAGTCCTGAATACATTAAAGAGACATCTAAAGGTCTACATACATGATACAGTCTTTAAGTCCTGACTACATTAAAGAGACATCTAAAGGTCTACATACATGATACAGTCTTTAAGTCCTGACTACATTAAAGAGACATCTAAAGGTCTACATACAGTCTTTAAGTCCTGAATACATTAAAGAGACATCTAAAGGTCTACATACATGATACAGTCTTTAAGTCCTGACTACATTAAAGAGACATCTAAAGGTCTACATACAGTCTTTAAGTCCTGAATATATTAAAGAGACATCTAAAGGTCTACATACAGTCTTTGAGGACTGACTACATTAAAGTGACATCTAAAGGTCTACATACAGTCTTTAAGTCCTGAATACATTAAAGAGACATCTAAAGGTCTACATACATGATACAGTCTTTAAGTCCTGACTACATTAAAGAGACATCTAAAGGTCTACATACAGTCTTTAAGTCCTGAATACATTAAAGAGACATCTAAAGGTCTACATACATGATACAGTCTTTAAGTCCTGACTACATGAAAGAGACATCTAAAGGTCTACATACAGTCTTTAAGTCCTGAATATATTAAAGAGACATCTAAAGGTCTACATACAGTCTTTGAGGACTGACTACATTAAAGTGACATCTAAAGGTCTACATACAGTCTTTAAGTCCTGAATACATTAAAGAGACATCTAAAGGTCTACATACATGATACAGTCTTTAAGTCCTGACTACATTAAAGAGACATCTAAAGGTCTACATACAGTCTTTACGTCCTGAATACATTAAAGAGACATCTAAAGGTCTACATACATGATACAGTCTTTAAGTCCTGACTACATTAAAGAGACATCTAAAGGTCTACATACAGTCTTTAAGTCCTGAATATATTAAAGAGACATCTAAAGGTCTACATACAGTCTTTGAGGACTAACTACATTAAAGTGACATCTAAAGGTCTACATACAGTCTTTAAGTCCTGAATACATTAAAGAGACATCTAAAGGTCTACAAACATGATACAGTCTTTAAGTCCTGACTACATTAAAGAGACATCTAAAGGTCTACATACAGTCTTTAAGTCCTGAATACATTAAAGAGACATCTAAAGGTCTACATACATGATACAGTCTTTAAGTCCTGACTACATTAAAGAGACATCTAAAGGTCTACATACAGTCTTTAAGTCCTGACTACATTAAAGAGACATCTAAAGGTCTACATACAGTCTTTAAGTCCTGAATACATTAAAGAGACATCTAAAGGTCTACATACATGATACAGTCTTTAAGTCCTGACTACATTAAAGAGACATCTAAAAGTCTACATACAGTCTTTAAGTCCTGAATATATTAAAGAGACATCTAAAGGTCTACATACAGTCTTTGAGGACTGACTACATTAAAGTGACATCTAAAGGTCTACATACAGTCTTTAAGTCCTGAATACATTAAAGAGACATCTAAAGGTCTACATACATGATACAGTCTTTAAGTCCTGACTACATTAAAGAGACATCTAAAGGTCTACATACAGTCTTTAAGTCCTGAATACATTAAAGAGACATCTAAAGGTCTACATACATGATACAGTCTTTAAGTCCTGACTACATTAAAGAGACATCTAAAGGTCAACATACAGTCTTTAAGTCCTGAATATATTAAAGAGACATCTAAAGGTCTACATACAGTCTTTGAGGACTGACTACATTAAAGTGACATCTAAAGGTCTACATACAGTCTTTAAGTCCTGAATACATTAAAGAGACATCTAAAGGTCTACATACATGATACAGTCTTTAAGTCCTGACTACATTAAAGAGACATCTAAAGGTCTACATACAGTCTTTAAGTCCTGAATACATTAAAGAGACATCTAAAGGTCTACATACATGATACAGTCTTTAAGTCCTGACTACATTAAAGAGACATCTAAAGGTCTACATACAGTCTTTAAGTCCTGAATATATTAAAGAGACATCTAAAGGTCTACATACAATCTTTGAGGACTGACTACATTAAAGTGACATCTAAAGGTCTACATACAGTCTTTAAGTCCTGAATACATTAAAGAGACATCTAAAGGTCTACATACATGATACAGTCTTTAAGTCCTGACTACATTAAAGAGACATCTAAAGGTCTACATACAGTCTTTAAGTCCTGAATATATTAAAGAGACATCTAAAGGTCTACATACAGTCTTTGAGGACTGACTACATTAAAGTGACATCTAAAGGTCTACATACAGTCTTTAAGTCCTGAATACATTAAAGAGACATCTAAAGGTCTACATACATGATACAGTCTTTAAGTCCTGACTACATTAAAGAGACATCTAAAAGTCTACATACAGTCTTTAAGTCCTGAATATATTAAAGAGACATCTAAAGGTCTACATACAGTCTTTGAGGACTGACTACATTAAAGTGACATCTAAAGGTCTACATACAGTCTTTAAGTCCTGAATACATTAAAGAGACATCTAAAGGTCTACATACATGATACAGTCTTTAAGTCCTGACTACATTAAAGAGACATCTAAAGGTCTACATACAGTCTTTAAGTCCTGAATACATTAAAGAGACATCTAAAGGTCTACATACATGATACAGTCTTTAAGTCCTGACTACATTAAAGAGACATCTAAAGGTCAACATACAGTCTTTAAGTCCTGAATATATTAAAGAGACATCTAAAGGTCTACATACAGTCTTTGAGGACTGACTACATTAAAGTGACATCTAAAGGTCTACATACAGTCTTTAAGTCCTGAATACATTAAAGAGACATCTAAAGGTCTACATACATGATACAGTCTTTAAGTCCTGACTACATTAAAGAGACATCTAAAGGTCTACATACAGTCTTTAAGTCCTGAATACATTAAAGAGACATCTAAAGGTCTACATACATGATACAGTCTTTAAGTCCTGACTACATTAAAGAGACATCTAAAGGTCTACATACAGTCTTTAAGTCCTGAATATATTAAAGAGACATCTAAAGGTCTACATACAATCTTTGAGGACTGACTACATTAAAGTGACATCTAAAGGTCTACATACAGTCTTTAAGTCCTGAATACATTAAAGAGACATCTAAAGGTCTACATACATGATACAGTCTTTAAGTCCTGACTACATTAAAGAGACATCTAAAGGTCTACATACAGTCTTTAAGTCCTGAATATATTAAAGAGACATCTAAAGGTCTACATACAGTCTTTGAGGACTGACTACATTAAAGTGACATCTAAAGGTCTACATACAGTCTTTAAGTCCTGAATACATTAAAGAGACATCTAAAGGTCTACATACATGATACAGTCTTTAAGTCCTGACTACATTAAAGAGACATCTAAAGGTCTACATACAGTCTTTAAGTCCTGAATATATTAAAGAGACATCTAAAGGTCTACATACAGTCTTTGAGGACTGACTACATTAAAGTGACATCTAAAGGTCTACATACAGTCTTTAAGTCCTGAATACATTAAAGAGACATCTAAAGGTCTACATACAGTCTTTAAGTCCTGAATACATTAAATACATTTTAACATTAAAGAAAAACAGTAAATATTTGCCATTTACACCAAGTGCTCCAAAAAACAAAGCCATTAAGAAATTGAAAACATTGATTAAATGTTCTGCATGATAATGTATATATTATTGTAGAAAGTAAAAATATAAATTCTCTTCACCTTTGCAGGTTGAGTGCCATCTTCATCTTGCACAAAATAAGTTAATAGAATATTGTAAATCCAAGAATATTACAGTGACTGCTTACTCACCATTAGGCTCACCTGGAAACAAAAGGTAAAAATGAAAACTACTAGGCTCACCTGATAACAAAAGGTAAAATTACTCACTAGCTAGGCTCACCTGGTAACAAAAGATAAACTTGTTCACTGCAATCTCACCTGAAAACAAAAAGGTAAACTTGTTCACTGCAATCTCACCTGGAAAAAAAAAGGTAAACTTGTTCACTGTAATCTCACCTGGAAACAAAAAGGTAAACTTGTTCACTGCAATCTCACCTGGAAACAAAAAGGTAAACTTGTTCACTGTAGTCTCACCTGGAAACAAAAAGGTAAACCTGTTCACTGCAATCTCAACTGGTACAAAAAGGTAAACTTGTTCACTGCAATCTCACCTGGAAACAAAAAAAAGTAAACTTGTTCACTAAAATCTCACCTGGAAACAAAAAGTTAAACTTGTTCACTGCAATCTCACCTGGAAACAAAAAGGTAAACTTGTTTACTGCAATCTCACCTGGAAACAAAAAAAAGTAAACTTGTTCACTAAAATCTCACCTGGAAACAAAAAGTTAAACTTGTTCACTGCAATCTCACCTGGAAACAAAAAGGTAAACTTGTTTACTGCAATCTCACCTGGAAACAAAAAGGTAAACTTGTTTACTGCAATCTCACCTGGAAACAAAAAAAAGTAAACTTGTTCACTAAAATCTCACCTGGAAACAAAAAGTTAAACTTGTTCACTGCAATCTCACCTGGAAACAAAAAGGTAAACTTGTTTACTGCAATCTCACCTGGAAACAAAAAGGTAAACTTGTTTACTGCAATCTCACCTGGAAACAAAAAGGTAAACTTGTTCACTGCAATCTCACATAAAAACAAAAGGGTAAACTTGTTTACTGCAATCTCACCTGAGAACAAAAGGTATACTTGTTCACTGCAATCTCACCTGATAACAAGAGGGTAAACTTGTTCACTGCAATCTCACCTGATAACAAAAAGGTAAACTTGTTCACTGCAATCTCACCTGATAACAAAAAGGTAAACTTGTTCACTGCAATCTCACCTGATAACAAAAAGGTAAACTTGTTCACTGTAATCTCACCTGGAAACAAAAAGGTAAACTTGTTTACGAAAATAAATGAATCCACAGTATAATGATATTTGATTCTATTATACCTAACTTTAAAATGCCATATTTTGATTGGCTAATACGAGGGTGTTAATTTACTCTATTACCCTTCATGGAGACGCTTGATCAAGTGTGCGCTTTATTAAATACGACTCTATCCTATGGCAAATACTCTATTACCCTTCACGGAGACGCTTGATCAAGTGTGCGCTTTATTAAATACGGATGGTTGTTATGTACAAGACGTCATAGTTTATTACTTTGAATTTGAAATTTAATCGACATTAATAACAGAACATTCAGTAAAATAAATTAAATAACACATATCTGAGAGGGTAACAGAGCAGATTGTTACCCCTCGAAAAGACATTGTCAACCTTGGCTTCGCTTCAGTTGACAATGTTTTCTCGGGGTAACAATCTGCTCTATCACCCTCTCAGCTATGTGTTATTTATATACTATTTCAGTGCACCCCATACACAGTAGACACTCACTAGTATAATGATATTTATTCTATTTCAGTGCACCCCATACACAGACGACACTCACTAGTATAATGATATTTTATTCTCTATTTCAGTGCACCCCATACACAGGAGACACTCACTAGTATAATGATATTTTATTCTATTTCAGTGCACCCCATACACAGGAGACACTCACTAGTATAATGATATTTATTCTATTTCAGTGCACCCCATACACAGACGACACTCACTAGTATAATGATATTTTATTCTATTTCAGTGCACCCCATACACAGGAGACACTCACTAGTATAATGATATTTATTCTATTTCAGTGCACCCCATACACAGTAGACACTCACTAGTATAATGATATTTTATTCTATTTCAGTGCACCCCATACACAGTAGACACTCACTAGTATAATGATATTTTATTCTATTTCAGTGCACCCCATACACAGTAGACACTCACTAGTATAATGATATTTATTCTATTTCAGTGCACCCCATACACAGACGACACTCACTAGTATAATGATATTTATTCTATTTCAGTGCACCCCATACACAGACGACACTCACTAGTATAATGATATTTTATTCTATTTCAGTGCACCCCATACACAGGAGACACTCACTAGTATAATGATATTTATTCTATTTCAGTGCACCCCATACACAGTAGACACTCACTAGTATAATGATATTTTATTCTATTTCAGTGCACCCCATACACAGTAGACACTCACTAGTATAATGATATTTTATTCTATTTCAGTGCACCCCATACACAGTAGACACTCACTAGTATAATGATATTTATTCTATTTCAGTGCACCCCATACACAGACGACACTCACTAGTATAATGATATTTTATTCTATTTCAGTGCACCCCATACACAGGAGACACTCACTAGTATAATGATATTTGATTCTATTTCAGTGCACCCCATACACAGTAGACACTCACTAGTATAATGATATTTATTCTATTTCAGTGCACCCCATACACAGACGACACTCACTAGTATAATGATATTTTATTCTATTTCAGTGCACCCCATACACAGGAGACACTCACTAGTATAATGATATTTATTCTATTTCAGTGCACCCCATACACAGGAGACACTCACTAGTATAATGATATTTTATTCTATTTCAGTGCACCCCATACACAGGAGACACTCACTAGTATAATGATATTTTATTCTATTTCAGTGCACCCCATACACAGTAGACACTCACTAGTATAATGATATTTTATTCTATTTCAGTGCACCCCATACACAGTAGACACTCACTAGTATAATGATGGTCCGAGTACACAGTTATCGTCCTTTGATTTTCGTTGTCCACGAATAAAGTCCCTAGTGTGGACAGTGTGTTGCTTGCCAATTTTTTTAGTACCCCTTCCAAATATATTCCTTCATGTTTTATGCCTCAAATAGCAAGTAGGGGGATGAAATTACACTGTAAAAAAATTTGGGTCATGAATTGTAAAGTAAAGTAGTGATTTGGTCCAGCTGAAAAAGGTTAAAAATAAGCACTTCGGAAGCTGTCAAAAGATTTCAAGACCCCCTTAACATAGAATTGTCCATATTTTGAGTTAGAGCCGATGAAGTTTTCTATAATATTGATATAATTTGTCCCAAAAGTAGTACAACACACTGTAAAAATATTATTGAGAAAGCGCAGGTGGGATTTTTTTATTTTCATTTATTGTCTAAAAGAAATGCACTACGAAATAACTGTGTACTCGGACCTAAGAGGCGAAATCAGTAAATATAGAATCTGTACTTTGGCAACTTCCCTGAATGATTTAATGGTGTCAATTTGTCAGATAGCATGAAACTAAAGGATTTAAACTTTTATTTGATAGAAATTCTGCAAAAATTACCCATTTTGACATTATATGGTCAAAATAAGCATTTCATAGCTTTTTCAATTTTGATGCATAAGTGGCTTTCTGACTTTCTATGTGACAGGTTTTCCTGTGTCAATATTTGTGTTTCTATGCTTTAACCCAGTTGTATTACTCATTTGTGAACTCTGAATCTACAGAAAATAAGATTATCTCAGACAATATGTGCAAAATGTGTTGTATAAATGACCTTCGTGTAACTGCCTGTTTGGATCAAGTTAAATGTGAGGACCTAGGTACATAAAAGTTGAAGTCCATAATAAAGATTTCACTAAATTTGTATTAAAAGCACTTCACAATGTCTTTTGTACCTGTTTCATTTCACATAGTATCTTTCTTTTCTTATGTTAAATAGCAAGTGGTTCAAATATAAGCCTGCTGAGGCTAAAATTGCATGCAAGTTTTTCACTAAAAAGTGAAAAATCTTTGTATCAGACCATACTGTCTGCAAAAAAAGTTGAATGCAAGAGTCCTTTTATGCTCAGATTTATTGTATCATGTAACCTGAGTATAGAAATTATAAAAAAGACACAAATTTTTATTTCCTATAGCTTCAGTATGCATTTTTAAATGTAAATATGTGCTACGGCCTAAATTGACCCTAAATTATTTTCAGTCTTACTTGGCCTAAGACCCTTTTATACTAATATGGTATGCTATTTGTAATTTTTCTTTCCATTTAAAGTACATTTAATACATATGTAAGGATTATTTATAACCAAAAAACTCCACAAATTTAAAATTGCTGGAAAATAATACATCTTCATGTAATGCCCCCCTTCATTGGAAAACCTCCAATTTTTTGGCACAGGCTCATATAAATTTGACTTTTAAATAATTGTGATAAGTCTGATAAATCAAAAGAGTATTCTATTGCTTTAAATACATAATATGTCATATATTTAGGCCTTTAAAAAGTAATTTTTTGCAATATTTTAATTTTTAAAGCCCCAAATGTTGATAGTTGAAATTTTTCAATTTAAACGTCAAAATTTAACACGCGAAGTTGAATATAGAATTTATCATATTGTCTATAATATATATCCTATTGCCATGAAACTTTGTCAGCAGTCTCATAATTTATTAAGCTTTAGTCATACCAAGTTTTATTAAGATTGGTCAAATTTTTCTATCCTATTAGGTCCGAGTACACAGTTATCGTCCTTTGATTTACGTTGTCCACGAATAAAATCCCTAGTGTGGACAGTGTGTTGCTTGCCAATTTTTTTAGTACCCCTTCCAAATGTATTCCTTCATGTTTTATGCCTCAAATAGCAAGTAGGGGGATGAAATTACACTGTAAAAAAATTTGGGTCATGAATTGTAAAGTAAAGTAGTGATTTGGTCCAGCTGAAAAAGGTTAAAAATAAGCACTTCGGAAGCTGTCAAAAGATTTCAAGACCCCCTTAACATAGAATTGTCCATATTTTGAGTTAGAGCCGATGAAGTTTTCTATAATTTTGATATAATTTGTCCCAAAAGTAGTACAACACACTGTAAAAATATTATTGAGAAAGCGCAGGTGGGATTTTTTTTATTTTCATTTATTGTCTAAAAGAAATGCACTACGAAATAACTGTGTACTCGGACCTGATATTTTATTCTCTATTTCAGTGCACCCCATACACAGTAGACATTCACTAGTATAATGATATTTTATTCTATTTCAGTGCACCCCATACACAGGAGACACTCACTAGTATAATGATATTTGATTCTAATTCAGTGCACCCCATACACAGTAGACACTCACTAGTATAATGATATTTGATTCTATTTCAGTGCACCCCATACACAGTAGACACTCACTAGTATAATGATATGTTATTCTCTATTTCAGTGCACCCCATACTCAGTAGACACTCACTAGTATAATGATATGTTATTCTCTATTTCAGTGCACCCCATACTCAGTAGACACTCACTAGTATAATGATATTTGATTCTAATTCAGTGCACCCCATACACAGTAGACACTCACTAGTATAATGATATTTGATTCTATTTCAGTGCACCCCATACACAGTAGACACTCACTAGTATAATGATATGTTATTCTCTATTTCAGTGCACCCCATACTCAGTAGACACTCACTAGTATAATGATATGTTATTCTCTATTTCAGTGCACCCCATACTCAGTAGACACTCACTAGTATAATGATATTTGATTCTAATTCAGTGCACCCCATACACAGTAGACACTCACTAGTATAATGATATTTGATTCTATTTCAGTGCACCCCATACACAGTAGACACTCACTAGTATAATGATATGTTATTCTCTATTTCAGTGCACCCCATACTCAGTAGACACTCACTAGTATAATGATATGTTATTCTCTATTTCAGTGCACCCCATACTCAGTAGACACTCACTAGTATAATGATATTTTATTCTATTTCAGTGCACCCCATACTCAGTAGACACTCACTAGTATAATGATATTTGATTCTATTTCAGTGCACCCCATACACAGTAGACACTCACTAGTATAATGATATTTTATTCTATTTCAGTGCACCCCATACACAGGAGACACTCACTAGTATAATGATATTTTATTCTATTTCAGTGCACCCCATACACAGTAGACACTCACTAGTATAATGATATTTTATTCTATTTCAGTGCACCCCATACACAGTAGACACTCACTAGTATAATGATATTTTATTCTATTTCAGTGCACCCCATACACAGTAGACACTCACTAGTATAATGATATTTGATTCTCTATTTCAGTGCACCCCATACACAGTAGACACTCACTAGTATAATGATATTTTATTATATTTCAGTGCACCCCATACACAGTAGACACTCACTAGTATAATGATATTTGATTCTATTTCAGTGCACCCCATACACCAGCATTAGAAGAACCAGTAGTTAAACAGCTTGCTTCACAGAAAAATAAAACACCAGCTCAGGTGATATCTCTTGTTTTATATATAGCTTCTTGTATATCTCTGATTCTATATATATAGGGACATATATAGCTCTGTTACTATAAATAACTATTTCCTAAAAGGTGATATCATTGTTACTTAAATAACTATTAATCATAAAAGAAGATGTTGTATGATTGCCAATGAGACAACACTCCACAAGAAACCAAATGACACAGAAATTAACAACTGTAGGTCACAGTACAGCCTTCAGTCTTTAAGATTTGTGCAAGGATTGTAATATATATACCTGTACATATTAGACTTGCTGGTTGGTCTTTTTTATAGACTATATACAATTCTTTAGCAATAGATTTTTTTGCCAATAAAGATTGTTTTCTCACAAAATGCAATAATGGCAGACATGAGCAGAAACCCTGATGAAACAAATTATATTAAAACATCTAAATAAAGTGTTTTCTCACAAAATGCAATAATGGCAGACATGAGCAGAAACCCTGATGAAACAAATTTTATTAAAACATCTAAATAAAGTGTTATTAAGTTTCACATATCAATGAATATATCCATTATTAAGTTTCACATATCAATGAATATATCCAATTGCTTTTCAGATATCCTAATTTATTCAAGTATTTGATTTTGATTTGAATTGGTATTATCACTATAGTTGCAATAAAGTATGCAATACTAAAAGTTAAAATAAATTGTTATATTTCAGATACTCCTTAGATTTTTATTACAAAGAGGTCTTGCTGTTATTCCAAAAAGTGTGACTCAAGTTAGGATCACAGAAAATTTTCAGGTATTGAATTGATTTTGTCTCTGCTGATAAAGATTTGGCTCACATCCATTTTGCTGTTATAAAATGGATTCTTGTAGACACAAAAGTTTAAATGTATGTCTGTACTCATATTGGAGTAATAAAAAAAGATAGGATCATCTTATTTTTGTGCTAAATACATTTTTTGATAATGAATTTTCTTCCTATGTCAAAATTAGGTAAGAACAACCTACAGTAAAACCTGTCTGAATGGTCACCTCGTTTCAGCTGTCACCTGTCGGTCACCTCGTTTCAGGGGTCACCTGTCTCTAATGGTAATTTTTCAGACCCGCCCAAACGTTTTCTTTATAGAATTTAACTCTTTTTAGAAGTCACCTTATTTTCGCATGAAATCGTCATTTCATCTTTTAACAACTGCCATTTAAATGTTTTAACTACCAATATAATCATGACAAAAATGATATTGTTGATACTTTCTGTTGAATGATATTGTTGATACTTTCTGTTGAATGATATTGTTGATACTTTCTGTTGAATGATATTGTTGATACTTTCTGTTGAATGATGTTGTTGATACTTTCTGTTGAATGATATTGTTGATACTTTCTGTTGAATGATATTGTTGATACTTTCTGTTGAATGTGATTGTTGATACTTTCTGTTGAATTATATTGTTGATACTTTCTGTTGAATGAGATTGTTGATACTTTCTGTTGAATGATATTGTTGATACTTTCTGTTGAATGAGATTGTTGATACTTTCTGTTGAATGAGATTGTTGATACTTTCTGTTGAATGATATTGTTGATACTTTCTGTTGAATGATATTGTTGATACTTTCTGTTGAATGATATTGTTGATACTTTCTGTTGAATGATATTTATGGGCCTTTATATAATGGAATATACCAGAAACCTGGAATATGATTTGCCTAATGGTCCGAGTACACAGTTATTTCGTAGTGCATTTCTTTTAGACAATAAATGAAAATTAAAAAAATCCCACCTGCGCTTTCTCAATAATATTTTTACAGTGTGTTGTACTACTTTTGGGACAAATTATATCAAAATTATAGAAAACTTCATCGGCTCTAACTCAAAATATGGACAATTTCATGTTAAGGGGGTCTTCAAATCTTTTGACAGCTTCCGAAGTGCTAATTTTTAACATTTTTCAGCTGGACCAAATCACTACTTTACTTTAAAATTCATGACCCAATTTTTTTTACAGTGTCATTTCACCCCCCTACTTACTATTTGAGTCATAAAACATGGAGAAATAAATTTGGAAGGGGTATAAAAAAAATCGACAAGTAACACACTGTCCACACTAGGGACTATATTCGTGGACAACGAAAATCAAAGGACGATAACTGTGTACCCGGACCTAATAGGGTGGAAAAAATTGACCAATCTTAATGAAACTTGGTATGACCAAAGCTTATTAAATTATAAGACTGCTTACAAAGTTTCGTGGCAATAGGATATATATTATAGACAATATGACTAATTCTATATTCAACTTTGCGTGTTAAATTTAGACGTTAAAATTGAAAATTTTCAACTATCAACATTTGGGGCTTAAAAAATTAAAATATTGCAAAAAAATACTTTTGAAATGCCTTAATATATAACATATTATGTATTAAAAGCAATAGAGTACTCATTTGATTTATCAGACTTATCATAATTATTAAAAAGTCAAATTTATATGAGCCTGTGGCTAAAAATGGAGGTTTTCCAATGAAGGGGGGCCTTACATGAAGATGTAATATTTTCCAGCAATTTTAAATTTGTAAAGCTTTTTGGTTATAAATAATCCTTACATATGTATTTAATGTACTTTAAATGGAAAGAAAACTTACAAATAACATATCACATTAGTTTAAAAGGGTCTTAGGCCAAGTAAGACTGAAAATAATTTAGGGTCAATTTAGGCCGTATCACATATTTACATTTAAAAATGCATATTGAAGCTATAGGAAATAAAATTTTGTGTCTTTTCTATCATTTCTATACTCAGGTGACATGATACAATAAATCTGAGCACAAAAAGACTCTTGCATTCAACTTTTTTTGCAGACAGTATGGTCTGATACAAAGATTTTTCACTTTTTAGTGTAAAACATGCATGCAATTTTAGTCTCAACAGGCTTATATTTGAACCACTTGCTATCCTACAGAAGAAAAGAAAGATATTATGTGACATAAAACAGGTACAAAAGACATTGTTAAGTGCTTTTTATACAAATTTAGTGAGGTCTTTATAATGGACTTCAACTTTTATGTTCCAAGCTCCTCACATTTAACTTGATCCAAACAGGGCGTTAGACGAGGATCATATATACAATACATTTTGCACATATTGTCTGAGATAATCTTCTTTTCTGTAGATTCAGAGTTCACAAATGAGTAATACAACTGGATTGAAGCATAGAAACACAAATATTGACACATAAAAACCTGTCAGATAGAAAGTCAGAATGCTACTTATGCATCAAAATTGAAAAAGCTATGAAATGCTTATTTTGACCATAAAATGCCAAAATTGGTCATTTTTTGCAGAAATTCTATCAAACAAAAGTTTAAATCCTTTAGTTTTATGCTATTTGATAAATTGACACCATCAAATCATTCAGGGAAGTTGCCAAATTTTTTTTACAGTGTCATTTCACCCCCCTACTTACTATTTGAGTCATAAAACATGGAGAAATAAATTTGGAAGGGGTATAAAAAAAATCGACAAGTAACACACTGTCCACACTAGGGACTATATTCGTGGACAACAAAAATCAAAGGACGATAACTGTGTACCCGGACCTAATGACAGGAAAAAGAAATAGCCAAAATAGCAAATTTTTGTATGATTAAGTGCTGCTTAAAATGCCTTTTTAAATAAATCCCCAAAAATTTCCATCATTTGTTATGATAGTGTAATGTTCATTTTATTCACAAAAAGAATTATAATTTGTTCAATCATTTCTGGAGAAACCCAAACAATTTTGTACAAAAACTAGGTGGGCTTTGTCTTTTTGATGTTTTAGGGAACCTTAGAAAACACCACCTGAAAATGTAATATTGAGTTTAATATGTTAAACTTTAAAGATTCCAAAGACTTAAATTGATTGAAATACCTATAGGTTTTTGCTTTTTAAACCAGTTTGGTATTTCATCCAACTAATATTTGGTTCAACATTTAGATTTATTTTGTGATTTGGTCAATGGGAGGTAATCCAATTTTTTTTTTTACATTTTTAGATTAAAAATTAAATCTTTAAGCTTTTGTGTCATTTTAAAAAGTTAACTTTGTTTTTCATACTAGTTTATAAATTAGAAAAGTATTACAGAAGAATGTGTTATTTATTTTTCATGTAAAATGTCTACATGTAGTGTCATTCTTATAAATGAAAAAAACCCAACATAATCTCAGGAAAAGTATATATCAGGAATAGGAGTACTGTAAATTCATAAATTATTGCCAGGTTTTTATTAATGCCAATAACTCACATTCTGATATCTCATACTTATATCTGTATACAGATTTTCCTGAAATTGCAATAATTAATCTCACATTTTTGTCCATTTTTAAAAAATCGCAAAAGGTGTCAGAACACCAATTAAAAATACCTATCTGTTCAACCAAATTTTGCAATTTTCACAGCTTTCTAAATATTTTACCTTAAGTTTAACTTCATAGAAACCAGGTACATCCTGAATTGTACAGGTACCACCTTTCTACATACCAATTTTCAACATACCTTTAAAATCTTATAAGAAAGAAGAGACCTCCCGAACTGAGGTACCACTAAAAATAACCCCTGGTTTTTTGGAAATCTTAAATTAGTATACTATGGAGCGCATTGATCCTCAATGTTTAATGCAAACTCATAGACAAGTAAATTTTGGCTCAAAATGCTCTTAATATATTTCTCTTTCACCAAAAGTTTCATTTCTGCAAATTTGTTGGTTAGTTTAAGTAAACAATGACATCAAATGCACTAATTTTTGTCCGAGTAGGCTGACTTTTACATACGTTCTAAATTGGAGAGAGTAATTGGTGGTCTGACACCAAAAATGAATGCATGCAGTAATTTCTGAATTTACATTATATCAAATATTAAATTTCGACATGCACATCCAAACTAGGCAAAAAGGTGTAAATGAGTATATACCAAACAGACTTTGATGTAAAAAGGTAGATGTGCATTTTTAAAGAAGCTGAAGTATAATGTTATTCTGAAGATAAATATGAGCTTTTGAATCATTAAATCTTTAATTACTGTAAATTCAGAAATTATTGTGTGCATTTCTGCTGAAATTAATTTTGATAGATGTTATATATTAATGCATAAATTTTTTTTTCTTGTTCTTAAATTTGGACTTGATTGAAAAAAGTTTGAATATGCAACATCCAAGACATGGCAGTTTGTCAATCTTCTTTAAATATGTAATATAGAAAATATAGAAATGAGATTACTATCCACCAGAGTTCAAATAACAAGATTAAAGCAAGCAAAGGTCACGGTGTCACTAGTTTGAGACAAAGATGTTGAGAATTGTTAAACCTGCAGACATTTTTGGAAGATTTTCAAAGGTCCAGGCCTCCAGGGAATTCCTATCTTGTGTTTCTGACAAAACTTTATGTGTTTGAAATATTTAAGGACCAGTAAATGTATATACTGTAGATTTATTATTATTTATGCGACTCTTAATTTTTGTAGATTTAATAGGTAAATGTGAACCAAGAATATAAAGGTTCAACAAATTATAGTTTCATAGGCTTGTATGCAGGCTTTGGCAAATCCACAAAAATAAATGAATCCACAGCATCACAAATGTGACGGGTTACCATGGTGACTGATAACTGATGTTTCTTTATAGGTATTTGATTTTGAATTATCTGATGATGAAATGACACAGCTGACGAATTTGAATAAAGATCACAGACTGAGTACAGAAGACATGTAAGATATCTGTTGTAGAAGTCTAACTTACTCAGTATAGCAATCACAAGGGTTGACAAGGGTATAGAAATATGGTCATCTATTGGAATTTTCCTGTTATGGCGGTATAACCCTTGCTAAAGTGGGGTGTCTGTTTGACTGTGCAGGATGTGTAATTATACAGCTATGTCTGGTCGGAATTGGGACTGAGAGTGTCTGATGATTTTTCAGTTCTAGTTTTTTTCTTGAAAAAGTATAAAATATGTATGTATGCTATCCAACTGCGAATTGGTTGATGCCATGACATCACATCATGCACATATGGATTTGACAGTTTGAAAACAAAATGGATGATCTCATGCAATTTCAGTGATTTTTTCAGGACTTGAAAGTTACAAATGAACTACACTTTTAGTTTAATTAAAACAAATTATCAACAGGTCAGGAAAATGATAATCGACTAAGAATTAGATAAATGAACATCTCCTTTTTTTTATGTAAATATATTAAACCAAGATTTTATTTTTTTTTTATTTCAGAGCATTAAAGCACAAGTATTATCCATTTTATGAAGAGTTTTGACACACCTGTTATTCTATGTCATTGAAACCAAAGATTGCCTTATTTTTACAGAGCTTCCTAAAGAACATACATTTCTTTATATGCTTAATGCTATGCATTTGTATATACTCTACAATATGATATGTAATATGTTTTATTATACACAATTGGTCAAATCAAAATCTTGAGTTTTAAAATAATCTTTTAACTGCATTTTAAAAAATTTTTTTTATAGAATCTTGATTAAAAAAAAAAATCTTTTTAGGCAATAACATCAGAATTTTTTTTAATTTTACCCACCATTCCACCATTTTGAAGTTTTAAATAAAATTGTTGATTGAGTAATTCTGATTCTGCAACCTGACGTTATGTAAGGTGTTTTGTTGGTGGTTTTTATTGGGGTCATGATATAAAATGGTCAGGATTCTTATGTTTAATCTTCCTACAAACTTGACATTCCTAATGTGGACAAATAAATATTAAGTTGAACAGTTTCTACATTTTGTTGATTTGCAGTTTTGTAAACTGATCGAAATCAAAGTCAGATGTGTTTAATGTGCTGAAGGAATTAAGATTATTGCATGGAAATATATTGTATATAATGTAAGCAGTGATAATTGTCTTTGATGGAATTAAATAAGGTCAAAGGCAAACCCTTCATCAGAAAATAAACAATTAATAAGAACAAAAATCGTTCAAATTTGAAGGTGTCATTTTGATCAGGGTTAGGAATTATACAATAAGATCAATTGGATAAAGGGTTGTTGTTAAAGCAAGTACAAAAATTATTAATAAATCAAATATTGTTAAACTGTGGATACCATATATAATTGCTGTATTTAAAATTTGGATACCATGTATTGTTTTACTAGTATAGATATGGTTTAAATTTGCATATTTCAATGGTTAAAATATAGATGTAGTAAATCAATTTATGTCTACTTTTGGTCATTGTTGGTACTATCAGCACTTCAACATTTGTATAAGTTTAGGACTTGAAATATTTTGTCCTGAAGGAACACTGAAGAGACAAATTGTCTAAATGTGTATCTGGTGCAGTAAAAGTGGTAGTGTTAAGAGCTCTATATATTGCTGTATATCTGTGTTTTGCTGTAAATGAATTCAGTAATAAAATAGCTTGATTTAATTATTTAGCTTCTTAAACAGAAAATAATACTTTTTATTATTATCCCCCAGCTGCTTGGATGTGAGATAAAGGTACTGGTTTACATCTGTCTGCTGGTCTCTTGAATTTTTTTCATTCTATTTTCTCCGGGATACATGTATATACAATATAGTGAGCATGCTTTACTGTATTATGTGTCTGCATTCAACGCTCATCAACTTCCTGTTTACCAAATATCGGTACTTAATATATATTCTTACACATTCATGACATAATGGCCATTATTGAAATGTTAAAACACTTTTCAAGAACTTTAAGAACTACATATCAGAGCTTCAAGCAACTTGGTGTCAGGCTTAGGGTGCACATGCTATACTGTATGATGCATTTTCATTTGTGACCTAGAGTTGGCTATTGTCATTGCTTGGTGTCTAGGTCTGGCATCAGCTATTCCCATCAGCTATTGCCATCGCTTGATGTCTAGGTCTTGCATCAGCTATTGCCATCACTTGGTGTCTAGGGTCTGGCATCAGCTATTGCCGTCGCTTGGTGTCTAGGGTCTGGCATCAGCTATTGCCATCACTTGGTGTCTAGGGTCTGGCATCAGCTATTGCCATCACTTAGTGTCTAGGGTCTGGCATCATCTATTGCCATCGCTTGGTGTCTAGGTCTGGCATCATCTATTGCCATCACTTGGTTCTAGGTCTGGCATCAGCTATTGCCATCACTTGGTGTCTATGCCTGGCATCAGCTATTGCCATCACTTGGTGTCTAGGGTCTGGCATCAGCTATTACCATCGCTTGGTGTCTAGGGTCTGGCATCAGCTATTGCCATCGCTTGGTTCTAGGGTCTGGCATCATCTATTGCCATCGCTTGGTGTAGGTCTGGCATCATCTATTGCCATTTTTGTATTAGTATGTAAATTTAAAAATACATTTGAATCAGATTTCAAAATTTCAATACAGCCGACAAAATAGCATATTTTCTATTTTGCAGGCGCCGGCAAAATGGCCACTGCATTGTTTTAATCGCCCCCCTATGGCAAAAGTGAACGTCATATTGGTCAATACACCTGGAAGTTTAATCGTATTGCTATCTGTAATTTCAAGATGAAATCGGGTCCCTGTCAAGAAATATATTTCTGCAATTAGTCTCGGAAGTAGCAATAATTATTTTGTATTGTTACTATTTGCGGGTAATCGTAGCCAGTGCCTTGAAGTTTTTGGCCTATAAATGTCCACTTTAATCAATTGGCAGGTGGAGCAGCATCTGCTTTCCCTTTCATAGCACCTAAGATCACCCCAGGTTTTTGGGCGGGTTTGTGTTGCTCAGTCTTTCGTTTTCTATGTTGTATTTTGTATATTGTTGTTTGTCTTTTTAGATTTTTTGCCATAGCATTGTTATTTCATTTCCGATTTACGAGTTTGAATACCCCTTTGGTATCTGTCGCCTCTCTTTTAGCTATTAGTGCAGAAACATAGGTGTTACAGGAAATTTATAGCAGAAAAGTTGGATGACCCATTTTGGAGTAATGGCCCCTGAAATATCAATTTTTGTCGAGCCTGCGAAGTAACGAAAGCGAGACATAGCGATCCTAGATTCCGTCGTCGATGTTGGCGGCGTCAACATTTAGGTTTAGCTTGTGGTTAAAGTTTTTTTCAGACATCAATAACTTTGTCAGCCTTACAAGGAATTTTACTAAGTTTTTTTTTACAGTTAACATTCAGTTTAGTCTGAGGTGAAATTTTTTCAGTTACCAATCATAACTTTGTCAAACCTTCGTGGAATTTTATGATATTTTGACAGAAGCTTGTTTATGACCAAAAGACAGAATCCAGAGCAAAATTTTTATTTATTTTCATTTTTCCGTATTTTTTACTGATAAATGGACTTCGTTTTTTTTACAGTTTACAAGTTAAAGTTTGTTACACATCACGGATTACTTTGTCAAAACTTCATAGAGTTTTATGAAACTTTGTCAGAAGCTTTTTAATGATAAAGAGATGTCTGAAGTTTTTTTTTTATAGATGGTCTTCGTTTTTACTGTTAACATTTACAGACAGTCTGGGATTAGATTTTTTTTAATATGATAGATTTGTAAACCTTCATGGATCGTTATGAAACTTTGACAGAAGCTAATCTTCAAGACCAAGAAATAGCATTTAAAGAAAAAGTTTGATTTTTTTTTAAATTCTGTATTTTACTGATAAATGGACTCACTTTTAAAGCCAACAATACACTTTTACACTGACAGCAGCAATCGTAGTCGAGACACAGAGTTCCGCGGAACCCCTTATGAATTTTTGATGAATTTCTAGATTAAAGGAATTGTCTAGAAAAAAAATAAGCTTGAATATAATAATAAAATGCAAAGATGTACAACAAACCAAGTTAAATCGACGTTGATTTCAGAAAACATTGACAATCCAAAATTGAGATTTTGCTTCTGTAATTTCTATTGTCTGTGTTAAATGTTTTTTAATCTCCGAAACGGCTGAACCAAACTGTACAAATATACCTCCTTAGGGGGGATTAGTTTGTACTTGATATCTGAGGTTAGGATTCACCAAGAAAGATGTCTGATGTTGCTAGAAAAAAAAAAATTCATAATAGTCCATTTACAGCTTTCGGCCTATATCTTTCCCATCTCTTTTAGTTATTTAAAGATAAGCCAAAAATGCAGTTAGACCATTTCTTGCGTTGCAATTGTATGATGACAAATTGGCAAGTTAATGTACCTGATAGCATTTTAAATGGTTTACGCTCACAACTGGTTTTGGCTTATTTTTGAAAATTGTAAGAGTTAGAGCTTATGTTCTCTGTATACGTCTATTGATTGAGCGTTTGAACTTGAAAAGAGCAAAATCGTTAATTGTAAAAATGAGCAGCACATCTCCACCAAGAAAATGTACAATTATGTTGAAATTGTCTCACGGACAACTGCGTGAAGAGTAATTGCCCATCAGTTTCTTTTCTTTACTGGGTTTTTCTTTTTTGCTTTTAAGATCTAGATAATTCTCTTGTGTCTGTTGTTGTGCCAGGTGAGCAATTTTGGCCCGTCGAAGTCTAGTTCAACTTAAGCATAATAAATTCTAGTAGTATTTGGCAATGGATGAGTTGAAGAGCAATCATCCAATTTGTTTTTTGTCAAATTAATGTGTCTGATTATGAAATATTGGAAATATCATTTCTACATTGACCTTTTTGGTGTTACCTTTACATTAGTAGGACATTATGTAATGAACATGACTTTCTTTGTTCTTCAATTCTTTATATTTGATGAGTGGTTTTAAGGATGACCTAGAAAGGTCTCAGCTTACAGCAAGACAACATCTTTACATAAATACATAAATATTTTAAGGGTCAGCTCTTGAACCCAAGTCACATCAAATTACTAAAGAAATAGGTATGCTTTTACTGTAGCTACTCTTATACTTGGCGTTACAGGTAAGGCTCTTTTTAATTTTCTTACCGCGCTCATTTTGTTTTTAAATGGATCGTTTTTGTCTTTAGCCGTGGTCAAATTCAATGGTACCGGCGATTGCGGCTGTTTTTGTTTTTGTTTTTCCCTCCATATTCGCTGTCTGTTTGTCTTTCGATTCCTTAAGGTCTGTTCTATTATTTCTTTTGCTGATATTTGATCTTTTCTTTTAGTTCTACTTTTGTGCTTTCTTTTTGTTGTTGCTCCTCTTTTCTTTATATCTTCTCTTTTGTTATTTCTATCCTTTTCCCTCTGTCTCCTTTTTCGGATTACAGAAGAAGACTTTGATAATGCTTTTGTTTGGTCATTTTTACTCTTTTGTTTCCATTTGTGTTTTTGTTCTCTTCTATTCTCAGCTCTCAGTTTTTGAATTTTGGATATGACTGTCATGATACCTACAAGTCGGAAAATGACAATATTCATTAATCTTTATTTATAAATTTTCGTATATTAATATCAAGACTTTTATAGCTGACTATAACATATGACTTTTTTCATTGTTGAAGATCGTATGGGGGATGAGTGTGCGCATGCGCCGAATTCGGACGTATCCTTTTTCATCTCCAAGAAAAGTCTTACTAAAGTTATTTGTATCCTTTGTAAAATTTATTAAAATCAATGTAAGTTGGGTAAAGGTGTTCCATTATCTATTACATTCATTGCAACATAAAAGTTAGGACCAACCAACATCAATCAACAACGAAATCCTGAGTTATAAAGCGGTTACCTATGTAAACAAAGAACAAAATGGCGGCAAATACGAAATAGAAATCTGACAGCTAGACAGTCAAGTGGAAGTTAAGAAAGGTGTGTAGGTGAGTTCATCTTATCACCACCTTCTTACACAGCCCAAAGATGTCACAACTAATTAAATTTCTATTTTTATTGTCATTTGGATACCAACTATGTCTAGCCAAAATAACAGACCAACAAAATATTTTGACAAAATCAAAACAAGGGGAGCATATGTTTACCATTATTAACAACTACAACCCAGAGTATATAAACCATTTTACCATCATTGACAACATTAGAACTGAAATACTTAGTATGAATGAGAGAAGATTAATATATCGTAAAATGATAAACCATCTCACCTATCTTTCAATGATACTAATTCTTATATCAAACGATGTAAATCTTAACCCTGGACCTGAATGTTCAAACACCAGTGGAACTGTATATCCATGTGGCACATGCGACAAACCAGTTACATGGCAAGAACGAGGTATAGTATGCGATACATGCAACCAATGGTACCACATCAGTTGCCAGGCTATGCAAACTAAGTCCTACCTAGAGCATGTGAATGACTCCGCCATTGCATGGGATTGCATTATGTGTAATTGTCCAAATTACTCCACCTTCTGCTATTCTTTGGTATTCAGCACTTCAAATCAATTCAGCATACTATCAAATATATCCATCAGCAGTCCAACATCTAGCATCATAAAACCATTACATACTTCAACACCAGAACGGAAAACACAAAAGAAAAAGGAGCAAGAAGATTCAAATCCTAAGACTATTCGAGTATTA